TTTTTTCAATATTTATTAAAATGTCACTAGTTATTTAAACAAACCACTATCTGAGGATAATACAAGCAACCATAAATCGCCCTTTATCTAGAGAGCCATTGCAGCCCATGAGGAATGTATCCTTCCACAAATCTTTTCATCTGCTGTATTAATAAAGCTGCCACGTGTTTTCATATTTAAGTTAAAGCACTATCTGTGCAGAACATTACAAATATTCTTCATTTGCAGTATTTTATTTTAAAATTGTTCAGAAAGACTGCATCAAATATGCTATATCTATAGAATATCAATATTGTTATTAACTTCAATCAAAGTCCATTTAAATAGCGGGCAAGACTTTCCGAGGGGTAAAAATGCTGCTGCCGGAGTACTGACTGGAAGTAGGCTATTGCTGATATCATGTCTACCATATCCTCTTAAAATACTCTGTCCAACAATATCAGTCTCATGAAGAAAGGTGTTTCAACGCTGATTCAAAATAGCAGAGAAACATGCATTCTTGTTCTCAGGAGGGGACATTGACAGAGGATTACTCAAAAAGTACACAGTAAGTACTATATAGTACTTGTTGTAGTTTCACTACTAGCCCACTGAGTCCAACAGGACCGATCTCACGAAGAACTATTGGCAGAAAAAATAATAACAAACTCGAGAGACGGCTAAGATGACAGCACTGCAGAATCGCTGTATAGTTGAAATCTCCAAACAATGTTGTCCATTTTAGACATAGGCCTATTATATTTACAGCCCTTAATAACATTCATTTTCTGGGCTCAATATGCGTCTTAGCTGTTTTCGTTGTGAAAACAAATGGAACGTAGATACACGGATTGAACGTCCTCATCTGCGCTCTCATTTTGAAAGACAACTTCCGGTAGCAGAATATGAAAAAAACGGGGGGTTTTTTGTTTCTGTTTTCTAGTGATTTTATTTTTTGTTTTGAGAAGCAGAAAATGAAAATCATCCCGTTTTTTAAGTTTAGTAAATCCATTTTTTACCATGATAAAGAAAAACGCCTTATTTCAATTTTGGTTTTTCAATTTGAAAACGAAAATCAAATATCCAGTCGTTTTTTGTTTTTGAATATCCATTTGTGAAAAGAAAATCCAATGACCAAAACATACACTGACCCCTGGGCTTGGTGGTGGGGCCCAATGTGATATCTTTTCATGGGGCCCAAAATCCCTGGCGGCGCCCCTGCCTACATTTCCCCAAAGACTCCACAGCTCTGATCCCAGCTCTGGTAGCAACAGAACAAGTTATCATTTAAATGTAACCTTAAAAGAAAGCTCTCAATGACACTTTATCGCTGTAAATTACTCGTGGCTTTAGAACACAGAAAAACCATGCAGATTCTGACTTTTCTGAAGGTCATTCAGCAGCTGTTAGATCTCTATTTGTCTTTACTGCAAACAATAAAAGCCCTGTATATATAAAACATATTTGTTTGAGTGTTAACCAAATGCCAGAAACAATGATCAGCCAACATTGAAAAATACATGCAAGTCCTTAATATAAAATCAGGCTTCTCTGAATCTTTATCTCAGGTTGCCTTTTATTTACAATACTAGGGAACATATGGCTTTAAATTAACCTCTTTAAATGTAGAGCTTACTGATTTGCTTTGGTCTGTTAAGGATTCATTTCAGTTTAAGTTTCTAATTTGAAGGAAATCCAATCATAATGAAGCGTTTAAGGTTTAAGATTAAAGTGCATCTTCCACCTCTATGATCCACATCACAGATTCATTGTTAAACTGCATCACATGTACCACAACTGAAGATAAACCCCCACATCTTCTTCCATAAGATGTGTCTGAGGACAGAGATAAGGCTGTCAGAGAGGAGCTGTCTGCTCTCCTCTGAGATCAACAGAGAAACTGTGGCAGCTCCTCATCACACCTTCATCGATCCGAGACCACTCACCTATATCGGGACAAAAGGTGTATTACTGATATAACCAACTTTTTCTCAGCTTCTGGGAGTCTTCTAATGATGCAAAAATCAAATCAAGGTAAGGTAGAAATAAAAGTAAGACTACACAGATACAAAAAGTTTTATTTGTTCAGTCTTGAGAGTTGGGGTCCTAAAAATGTCCATTATTATGACGAATTAAAGCGAAATATCGTGGCAACTATTAGAAACATTGACATGTATTTTTGATACAGACTCTTAACACTGCAGTTTATTATGAAACATTTGTAAATGTGATACATCCTGGACAGCTTTCAGATGGAAACATGGCATAATTCATAAAATAAGAAAAAAAATAAGTATTGAGATGTAAGTTAAACAAAATACAACAGTGAGAAGTGTCTTGAATGAAACAAACGTGTGTAAAATCCAGGTAAAATCAAAGATGGCGCTAGATTTCTTCCTTGCTCACTGACTTCAGTGCTGCAGTGAGGACTGTACTGCCACTGGTGGCCAAAAGCTGCATTGCAACAGATTCATATTGTTAACTGTATGTAAGGTAATGTACTTCCGTAATAACAAAAAGTTAACTTAATTGTTAAATTGTTGCCAAAATGTCTTTATTTATCAGACTTCAATCATCCAATCCACCAAACAACACTTGTCACATTTTTCATGGGCGCACCCCACATACTCAGCTCTGCTGTTCATCCCACAAATGCTTGCCAGAGCAAGTCTTCCTCAGCAGATGGAATTTTCCAAGTTGTAATAATGCTACCAACGTTGGTCACCAACGAGCAAGTTTGTGTTAGAAAGGTAACCCAAAAAACTGAATACAATACATCAAAGCGAAGTGCCAACACATTTAGTTTTTGATGGTTTTATATGGCTTTGATCACACTTGCCTACTTTGTGCAAGTAGGTAAACTCTGTATTCCCTGAGGAAGTCCACGAAGAAAGTGCAGTAAATCCAGATTATAAGGTGCATGATGAAACAAACATTTCAGATGTGTTATCTGCTCTATGCAAATGAGCTTATGATGTAATTTGTTCTATTTTTTACCCCTCCGCAGTTTCAGTTAAGCTGAAGAAAGACTCATTCAGTGTTAACATCATGAATCTTAGGCGACATGCAACAAGGTTTTTACAATGGCAGATTTTCAAGATCACAACTATTAGAATTAACCTGCTAATCTACAATTGTATAACCACTATCATAATTGAAGTCTTTTAATAGCATTTCAGACTAAGTGCGCACATAACGTAGCCATGTAAGTGTAGGTTATGTGCATCTGAAACATTACATAGAAACACAACAATGAAGAAATGAACACACACAACACAAAATAGTTGTTTGCTTTTTATTTATTTATTTTTTGTTCCCTTTTTTCTTCCTATCCCTGCTTTTGGCACTACATACTTAGGGTGACATGTTAAGATTGTTTTTAAAACAAACGTCTATTCAAAGCCTCCATATTGCAAGTAAAGTATGAATACAGCTAATAAAAATAAAGGTTTATATTTTTCCTCCTTACTTTACACATAAAATAAAAAACTTTTTTGGACCCCCTCAAAAATGGGGGTATTAAAATATTTGACATTTGTATCACAAATCAAATGTAATGAGACAGGAAATAAAAACTGTACAAAAATGAGAAAAAATCTATTTCTTTTGAAAAATCCGTCTGATCAAATGATGGGATGGGTCCATAATTTGTCTTTGTTTTGTTACCGACCATAAAACTAATTAAAAAGGAAACCCAAGATTACTTCTTTTGTTGGAGGAAGTTCAGATTGACTGGGTGTCGAACGTGGGGGACCATTGGGAAGTTTGGATTTGGAAGCACCATGGACCCTGTAGAAAGAAGGTAAGACAACAGAAATCAAAACCAAAAGATAACTCAGGGAATAAATATATGTATGTAAGCCACAGTAAAATAAATGTGTATCATGTCTGACCTTGGCCGAAGGGTTTCCCGGGCTGGAAGCCTCCGTTGGCCTGCTGGATGAAGTTCTGGGGCATCCTGTAGGGCCAGGATGGGGACAGGGCGTACTGCGGAGTTTTATTGTGCTCCCATATCCGAGGGCCTGGGTTCACACCCACAAACTGGCCGGGGTGGCCTGACTCTGTAGAGACAAGATCAAAGCACATTATGAGGACAGATTTCACCTTCAGCAGGCAAACCCTCTCAAACTGTGCAATTCAGCATTAATACCATTACTCAACTACATCCTGTAATATACGTTAAATATAGTAGTTAACGTGCCAGATTCTACTTCAGCTTTGAATGTTGAAGTAGAATTCCACTTATGTTTATACAGTTACATTTATTGAATTTTTTGGTGCACATTCTCACTATTACTTTCTATAACATTTATTTATTTCATTCTTAAAATGGAGAAACTGTCACAAACCCATTTTCCCACTGGGAATGTATCTAGCAAAACAAACAATGTTCATTTAAATAAAACTTTCGTTTTGGTAACATCCCAGTTTGAGTAAACCCAATAGTGTCCCATCACTAGTGGTGTATTAAACATCCCCAAACAACTGCTACTTACCTCTTTAAAGCTCTATCTGTGTGCTGAATTCATTTTGAATAGCTCCACACTTACTTTTGCTGTTTTTTGTAGAATTGCAATACGGCTTAGCAGGGGACTATCCTAACATTTCCGTTAGTGGACTTAAAGCACAAGAGCCTTCTTATCTTGAGGCAATAGATGCAGTACAAATGAAAACTAAAAAGCTGAACAACCAAAAACTCCCTGCGTCTTATAGAAATTGATGCTACCCTACAACTTCTGAAAACTGTCCAACCCTGGATGCATTTCAGTTACTTTTTTTTTATATTTCAGGTTTAGTTTAAATCAACATATCTACAGCAGTGCTGCAAAGGCTCTGCGTTCACTCACAAGTTGCTTTGACCTACCATCAGGTTTAATCCCTATTTTACAACTGCAAACTAGATGAATGTTGCCCAACACATTTTTTTTTATTGCTACAAGTTCCATTTATAAGCTGATCTGAAATATACTTAGAAGATGTAGTTGGCACAATGTTATGCGAATTATAAATGTTAACATTAATATGTTTGGGAAAAAACATTTGATTTAAGGTTGATTGGCAACATGAAGGCAACTATCTTGTTGTTTAAATTAATATTACAGGCTGGGACCAATATATTTTGAGAGTGTAATAAAACAAATTGACATATAATATACAAAAAAAAAATCAGCTTTTAAAGATAGAGAAACAGGAAGACACAAAGACAGAGTCACACACAGACAGTGCCCCCCACAGACCACCCGGTGAATACCTGGCTTGACCACAGTGCCGTTTCCCATGAGTGCCCCTGCCTGTGCCAGATGGTTGTGCCAGTGCCCCTCCCGGCCCGGCCCCATGCCCAGCGGCCTCACCGCCGGCTGGGCGAAGATGATGCTGGGGTCGTTCAGGTTCAATGGGCCGGCGTTGCCCCCTGAGCCTGTGGGACTCCCGTTCCCTGATGCCGAACGCAGGGCGAATTTGAGGCCGGGCGGGGAGGGGCCGCTGGGAGAGGACGTGGAGAGGACCGGACCGTGTATGGGCCAGGAGGGGGAAGAGAGGTGGGCAGGGTGGTGAGGCTGCCCCTGGGACTGGTGCGAGGGAAGGAGCCCCAGGGCGGTGAGCGCCGCCGGGTGGAACTGACCTGGGTGGGAGGGGGGGAAGCCGAACAGAGAGAGAGGGGGAACTGAGAGAGGGGGGCCTCCGGGCTGCTTCTGGGGACCAGCAGGACTGCTCTTCATGTGGGAGGGCTGCGGGGAAGAACTCTGAGGGACAGCGGTGGGCTGAGGGGAGTAGGGCGGAGTCTGACGACTATCAGACTGTAGAGAGAAGAAAGAAAGGATTAGAAATCATTCAAATATATTAGAACATATTCAAATAATGGTCATTTCTGGCGTTGATGTAATATTTCCAAATTGAAACATTCTTGCATCCAGAATCAACTGAGATTTAAAAGCGCCAGCTCAGTCAAACTTGATTTGAATCTGATGCCATGATTACAAGACACATTTATCAGGGCATGGTATCAGAATCAGTATCATAAAAAAGCAATGCTGTCGGATACATTATTTGTCATCTTGTTTTATCCGCGCCTTGTTAATGGCGCATTTCCACTACACGGCCTCGCTCGGTATGGCTAGGCCTCGTTAGGACTGGCTCACTTTATGGCGCATTTCCATTACAGTTTAGGAACTGGGGTAGTATCTATAGTAACGCAGTGTAGGCGGAGCCGTGACGTCATCTTCAATGCGAACCACAGAAAAACAACATCAGCCGGTAGCTGTTAGCCCTCAGAGCTCACAGCTCCTCATATCTGTTCAGAAACTAGACAAAAGTTAAACAAGTACAAACCACATACTGTCTGTGTCATGGCGAATACAGTCGCTGGTTTATTTATGTCTGTATAGGCCGTTGTTGTGAGTGTGGACGGTCGGAGCATTTACAACGTTAGCTTAGCCAAATCTCCATTTAGACAACACGCATTTTAAAAGGTTTTTCGCCTGCCGTCTGTCTGCAGACTTGTCAAAGCATTAATTCATGGTTTTTACTATCCGGTATCAGTATGTTGTTACTTCGGCATCATTTTGAAACGTGTATTACAATTAAATCACGGTCAAATATGTTCATCTTGTTGTAGTTGTAGCCCCCTTGACAGCGATTCTCTCTCTAGTTTAGCATACTCAGCCCGGTCAAGCCAGCCTCATTCGGAAAAATACCTTTTTTAAAAGACCTTTGGGGACGGATTATAGCTCATATATGAGACTTCAAAGGTATTTTATTTTGAAACTACATCAGAATGTCCTGATTTCTTCTGAGTGACTAGATGGGATGTCCTGCTATCACCCTGAAGTGAAATGAGTCTTTGATACTGGACAGTTTTTGTTTTATTCTCATCTAAACACAGAGGGATGATTTTTTTTACTCTACCGTAATGCATAGGATATTCGCGCACCGCAATATCACGTGAGGGCTGGCTTGACTACGTTTTCCCGAGTGGAGGCTGGCTTGACCGCAGTTAGTTTAGCATACTCAGCCCGACTCAGCCTGGTTGTTCCTGGCCCTAGAACCACGATTTTAACGGGCTCATTACATCACAGAAGTCGCCAATTTAAGGGGTCAATTTCTCCAAAAAAAATTGTATTACCTACAGACTAATATGCGGGAACAGGCGCCACCATATAGTTTTCTAACAGCCGCACTGATATCAATATAACATTGGATTGAGCAGTGCCTATCTTTAAAGAATAGCACCTAAACGACGGCCATACCAGAGCTCCGTGAAGAAGCTGGTAGACAGTGGATGAAAGTACCATCATTTGCTCCATTTTTAGATGTCTCGGCTTATAAATGTTCTATCAGCTCGCTACTTCAGCCCAACACAGAAAACTTACGATGCAGGAATGAATAATGACTTCATTTCCATACGAAGGTTCATAGTGTTGTGCACCAATAGCAAATTGAGCATTACGCGCACTTTTTTATGTTAAAATAGAGAAACTGTAAAATCTCAATTTTCCAATATCCCCAGAACTTTTTGCCAGCGCAACTATTCATATAATAGACTGTACAGACAGGGGGACCAGACAGTGTCATGGTGCTTTGTCTGTCTTCCAAGACAGTGGTCTGGGCTGCTGTGTAGGTGGGTGATGGTGGCATGGGCCCTGGGCTTGGTGGCTGTGTCGGCAGAGGTGGTGTGGATTGTCGCCGGGTTGATGCTGGTGGCTATGTGGGAGGTTCAGTGTGGCTAGGCGAGACTTCTTTGCTGGCTGGGTGATCGTGATGGTTGTGTTGGAGGCCTTTGTACCGGAGGTGGTATCTTAATCTTTGTGGCAGGCCAGAATTGGAGGTGGAGGCCGCTGTAGTGAATGCTGCTCCTCTGATTTGGTGGCTGATGGCTGATGGTGGGGTCTTTGGAGCCACGGTAAGTTCTTGCTGGGGCCAGACAGATGAAGCGTTCTTGGCTGCTGGATAAATGCCGTCTTTACGGGCCACTAGGCCGCAGGCCACCTGAATCTAAAAAAAAAAAAGAAACCTCCATTTAGCACTCAAATAAGCTGTAATGAGTATTTGTGCTGCTAATCAAAATAGGAATAAATCACATTGCCATAATCTATGACGTTTTTATGAAGGATTAACAGCCTTTCTTGTCATTTAAAGTATATACAGTGCACAACCCATGGTTGACTGTACTTCACTTCCACCTGGCTCTGTTTGTAGCACTGATAGCACAATATTAGGCTGGCATTAGCACTTTAGCATTTCGATATATCGAACAATTTATGCCTCAGACAGCATTTCATATTTATACAAGCAGAAAACACTGCATCTCAGTTTATTATACTTTGCTGTTTTTCATTAGATTTCTAGAGTTTGGCCTCAGCCTATGTTTGAAGCGAATAGTATTTACTGTATGTTTTCTATGCGCAGTTCTCATACTTTTATGGACAATAACGAAGCTAGCACCAGACTGAAAATAAACATTTTTCCAAACATCAGTAGAG